GCTGCGCTGACTCGTGGCCAGGCTGGCGCACACGTGGATGAATAGAGCGGTACGTGGTGAATAGGATGACTCTTGGGTAAATAGAGCGATAGATGGGTGCGGCTGGGCTGATTGACGGGCGGGCCAGCAGGAGCCGACACTGCCGGACGGCCGGATAAGGACAAACGAAAGAAAACCAATGGGTTTATGGAGGACATGCGGCCCGATGCCAGGATGAATGAATAGGGGCACAGACACCGAGAGACAGACTGAGCAGTCTTGCATTTACTGAATGAATAGGAGTACAAACACCTGACAGACAGACTGAGCAGTCTTGCATTTACTGAATGAATAGGGGTACAAACACCGACAGACAGACTGAGCAGTCTTGCAGTTACTGAATGAATAGGGGGTACAAACACCGACAGACAGACTGAGCAGTCTTGCATTTACTGAATGAATAGGGAGTACAAACACCGACAGACAGACTGAGCAGTCTTGCATTTACTGAATGAATAGGGGTACAAACACCGACAGACAGACTAAGCAGTCTTGCAGTTACTGAATCCCTTTGAGCCAGGCACTCTGATCCAGCGGCGATAATGGATCCCGGCGCCAGACCCTGGGATGATAGGGAGACAGAGAGCAGAACCCGGCGCCTGACCCTTGGATGATAGAGAGACAGAGAGCAGATCCCGGCGCCAGACCCTTGGAAGATAGGGAGACAGAGACCAGATCCCGGCGCCAGACCCTTGGATGACTACGGGGACAGAAAGCAGATTCCAGCGCCAGACCCTTGGATGAAAGGGAGACAGAGAGCATTGCCTGGTTCCAGACCCTTGGATAATAGGGGACAGAAAGCAGATCCCGGCGCCTGACCCTCGAATGACAGGGAGACAGAGAGCAGATCCCAGTTCCAGACCCTTGGATGATAGGGGGACAAAAAGCAGATTCCAGCGCCAGACCTTTGAATGATAAAGAGACTGAAAGCAGCGTGTCCGACATCCGTGCGAGCGCTTTGAGGCCTTCCCGCCAGCTGATGTTTAGGCCAGTGGCTTCGGTCTGGCTTCGATGATGAAAGGTATCCTCCATGGCGCGCCTTGCAGCCGATGTTGTCTTCTAGCTCACGCGGTTGGATTGATACCAAATATAATGTCAGTTACAGTGCGTGACAAGTGCGATGAAAGGGCTATTGCTGGTCGCCTTAGCCTGGATGAACGGCAATTAGTGGCTAAAACTGTTCGGTCCTTGTCACTGCATCTGGTGCAATGATGAAATCTACTGCAAAAGTATGCCACCTATTAACGCGTGCCACAGGCACCAATGGTGCTTTAACCTTCTGAATATGTTTGGGGTGGCATTTAATTGCAGTCGATTACCAGCACTTCTCCAACGTGAGACATTACCAACTAAAACTGCACTGCAATATACCAAAGCTTATACCACCTGCCTTCTTCTCAGAAAACTAATGCATCTGAAATGCTCTGCGCTTCTTGAAATGTCAGTATTGCAATTTGTCAACTATCCGCTATGTAAATATACTTCAGCGTACGTGCGTGGATACGTCATATTAAACATCCTGAAATCGAGGACGGAGAACATCTTTGTAGACTCATAGCAGCGTATAAGTGTTCCGTGCCACACCCAGACACTACATCGTGTAGGTTGGCAGCAATAAAGCAAGCAATCATGCCATGATCCCACCGACTTTCCTGCTCGCCGTGCTGAAACCAGCTAAAAGAACCGTTCGTGGTAGATACGGCTCTGCAACTTTCAGAGCATTGCAACTTGTCAAATGCTAACGAAGCCTCCCCTGTCATTCGATTCACTCGTCGGTTGCATGCTGGGATTCTCACAGCAGCTGTTCATTTACTTGCAGCTTCAAATTTTATTCACACTGATAAACTGTGCGCGAATGGTATGCACGGGCAAAATGATTGAGCCCAATTAACATTTTAAAACACAAATCTCGATATCAGTCTCATACAGATGACGCAACGGACACGACCCGTGTCGTCCCACCTACCCGGGCCAACCCGGGCGCGACACCCACCTTTCCATGCGTTGGTGGGTGGGCAGCGGCGGCGGCGGCGGCGGCGGCGGGTGTACCCCGAGTGACGGCGGCGGCGGCGGCGGCGGCGGGCGGCGGGTGGACCCCGAGTGGCGGCGGCGGCGGCACACCTGGTCACCGGCTGCCGGCTGTCGGCTCCGTCGCCGCCGGCCCCGCCGCCTAGCGGCCGGGGACGCGCGCCGGACCAGGTGGCCGGCCGCTCCCGGTACCCGGCCGCCGCCGCCGCCGCTGCCGCCGCCGCCGCCGCCGCCGCCGCCGCCCGTCAACGAGTTCGGGTGAAAACCACAGTGGCGGGCTGTCCGCCTTGCGTAAACCGTCTATTCAACCCTGATTCGGCCCATTGCGGGTTGATAAACGTGAGAAAGAGCGGGAGTTCTGCGGATGGCGCCGCCCGAGATTTCGGCCGCCGGGCCGGCGCCGGCGGCGCGTCCGAGTGCTGCCGCCGGCCGCAGCGCGGCCGCTCGCCTGTCTGTCCGGCCGGCTGACCAGGTCACTGGCAGAGAAACGCTCCATCGCGCTGGGTCATTTGGTGACTTGTTCGTGACCGTTGTTGTCTATTAGTGGCGCCATGAAGAAACGAAAATGCGCGGAGGATAAAATTGGCCGAGAAAACGTCAGAAGCGGCTTGCCCCACATTTCAAGCAGCAAAAGCATGCTTTCAAATGTATAGCTTTCCCAGAACATGCTCTGCGCAGCAGTGTTCATCCTTATCGAGCGGCCATATGCCATGCAAACCAGCAACGCCATTTCGTTTCCTTTGTCGTCAGGTTGATCTGTTTTATTTCCGGGTTTTCGAACAATACCGAAGTGAGGTCCAAATCTTATCAAACAGACCATGCATTCTGATGGCATTGTTCTCCTTTGAGCAATGGTCGAGTGAACCTTAAACACACAACTTCGAATGGCCTTTCCTGAGCACACCAGACCAGTGCTCAAGCATGACCAATATCATCCCAACATGCGCCACAGAGCACACCGATTTTGCTACAGCGATGTCCAAGAATCGGAAATCAAGCCATAACAAGTGGGTTGCCAGTTCGCAGTTAAGACCGCTCCTCCGTTCTGTGAGTGTCCTGCTCGTGACCGTGTCAGTGACCTCCACTGCTCGGCTTTGATGCCGTCAGCAGGGCACACGGGCTGGGAACCGGGCGCTCAGTGCTAGTAGTCATGCAGGAATACAGGCACTGCCATTCCCTCAGGGATTTAAGCATATATGCTGCCGCTAGACCAGACGCGGATTTATGCAGTCTCCGTCACTGGACAAGACGCACGGATGGACCAACTTCACTGCTGTTCCAGACATCCAGCGGTAGTCTAGCCTTGCTACCGGGGTAGACAGCGGAGCGCTGACATGCTGACGTTTCCAACGCACGGCATACGATACATCATTGACTTTATCACCGGAGAATACGCACAAATACACACACAATACGCAGGCATGCTAATCATGTGACTGGACCAGACGTGCACGCACCCGCCGTAAGCCTCCCGCCGATGGACGAGACACACAGGTAAGCTGGCTCTGTCGATGGACCACATACACAGGTACACTAACCACGCCGCTGGGCGAACGTCACGACAAACAATCACGCCGGCTCTGTCACCGGACCTGACACAGGCATGCCGGCTTTGTCAAGAACCAAACACAGAGGCGTACAGTATGTGGCTACAACCACACAAAAGCATCTATGCAGCGAGACCAGAGGCTAAGGTGTACGTATATAATGATGCATGCTTTGTCGCTAACGTCGACGTAAAGATGGTTCCAGTTCGTTAATAGCCTATAGGCAAATGTCAACACCACTGTCGTTTGACTGGAAGCTCAGGTTCACAGGCTGTCATTAGATTAGACATTCATGTAAACTGGTTCATGCTCCGTAACGGTACACGTATCAGGTGCAGCGTCAGGCTCAGGCACGGTATCAGGCACAGACACGATATTGGGAATATGTATGGTATCAGGTACAGGTTAGGTACAGGTGCGGTACCAGGCACAGGTATGGTATTATATAGAGGTGTGGTATCGGTACAAGTATGGTATGGTATCAAGGTGTGGGTATGGTATCAAGTGCAGGTACATAATCATGTACGGTATGAGATACAGGTACAGCATCAGGTACAGGTACGTTATCAGATACGATATTAGGTGCGGATACGGTATGAGGTACAGCATCAGGTCCATGTACGGCATCGGGTGCTGGTTGATATCAGGTATATGGTATCAGGCACAGGCCCAGTATCAGGTATATAGAAGCAGGTGCAGGTTCCGTGTCAGGTGCACGGTATCAGGCTCTGTCCCGGTATAGAGGCCGGTGTGTATTGGTCCTATCGCTGGACTAGACACGCGGGCACACAGACACCGCCGCTGGAGTAGACACACAGCTGTATGTTGGCTATAACACTGGATCAGACACACCGGCGTACTTATTCCATCATTGAAGAAGACACAGAGCTCTGTCCATTTGACCCCACATCTGCGAACGGCCTCCGCACCTGCAGCACGCATACAGATGCTATGGCTCGGTCATTGGACTACGCGGCCGGTACGCGGACGTCGACCGGGAGAAAGGCCTTGGGATAGCTTACTCCATGCTCAAAATAACACTCAGAAATCCGGCCATGTTTCAGATTAACGGGAAAAAGGGGTTAGTTTAGTGGGTGTTGGACTCTAGTGGCGCCAATGCATACGTATTACGGTTATTTCGATGAAACAGCAGACACGTAGGCGCATAGACTCTATTGCTGAGCGCCAACGCGTCACACTGGCTCCTTCGACAGACAACACGAGCGCCAGTCTCGCTGGAAGTCACCCGGCCAGTCCCGCCGTCATGGAGTCAGGCGCACGAGCATTGGGGCCGTCCTTGGACCAGACACTTGGCCACTAACGCCGTCATTGGCCTAAGCATGCCTACACTGGTGCCTTAAATCTTCCCATAATTTTACGACGCACGGCAGCCGCCAGCGTCAGGCGCTGGTCGTCCGGACGTCGGCGCCGCGAGCCGACGGGCTCACCGCAGCGGCGAGACCGGATCACGACCAGCACGGCGCCCGCAGCCATGTCATTCCGTCATAAGTCAGGCAGCTGACCTGACGGACGTCTTCGCGCGTGGTAACGGCTGGTGGCAGTCTCGTCGGATCCGACATGTCGACATCAGCGGCGCACCCGAACCAAGTACGTCCGAAATGGCTGTGTAGCGCGCGGACATCTTTAAAACGGTCAAGTTTTTTTTTTCGTTTACAAGTTCAGTTTAAGTGTTATAACGCAATCAAAGCACAGTAATCATCACCCGCTGATGGTGCGTCTATGACCAGGAGCGGTGCCACATATTTTTAGGGGGAGGGGCAGAATTTGTCATGCGTTTTCCCAGAGAAAATGAATCCTGCCCGCAGAGGAACATCCTGGTGGTACTTACCAATGAGATTTCCTAGTTTGGGTAGGAAGAGAGCATATTTCTAAATAGGGCTCTGGACGTTTAGGTCATCTGATCCACACCAGCCCGTCTCTTAAACAGAGATGAGTCCGTTGATGAGGCAGCTCATTTCCATCCAGCATGCACTGCGCAACAACTAAGCAAATAAACAACGATAAAAACACGACACCGGTATTCCTGGTGTATGTAAGGCCAGGCTACCTTGTGTGCAAGAAAGTCATGTGTATGACCTGTAATATGTGCTAATTCCCTCGAAAAAGACATCGTTCATGTCAGTCCGGCATAAATCGTTATATGATGCAAACCCGTTGCCGGAGTATGTGCGGTGCGACCAAGAGAGAGAGAGAGAGAGAGAGAGAGAGAGAGAAGAGTAGAGAGAAGAGAGAGAGAGACGAGAGCGAGAGCGAGAGCGAGAGCGAGAGCGAGAGCGAGAGCGAGCGAGAGCGAGAGCGAGACGAGAGCGAGAGCGAGCGAGAGCGAGACGAGCGGAGCGAGAGCGAGAGCGAGAGCGAGAGCGAGAGCGAGAGCGAGAGCGAGAGCGAGAGCGAGAGCGAGAGCGAGAGCGAGAGCGAGAGCGAGGAGCGAGAGCGAGAGCGAGAGCGAAGCGAGAGCGAGAGCGAGAGCGAGAGCGAGAGCGAGAGCGAGAGCGAGAGCGAGAGCGAGAGCGAGAGCGAGAGCGAGAGCGAGAGCGAGAGAGAGCGAGAGCGAGAGCGAGAGCGAGAGCGAGAGCGAGAGCGAGAGCGAGAGCGAGAGCGAGAGAGAGAGAGAGAGAGAGAGAGAGAGAGAGAGAGAGAGAGAGAGAGAGAGAGAGAGAGAGAGAGAGAGAGAGAGAGAGAGAGAAGAGAGAGAGAGGAGAGAGAGAGAGAGAGAGAGAGAGAGAGAGAGAGAGAGAGAGAGAGAGAGAGAGAGAGAGAGAGAGAGAGAGAGAGAGAGAGAGAGATAGAGAGAGAGAG